AGAGTTGGGAGGTGAAGAAAAAATGAGAGCGTAGCATTTCCATTACATTAAGAGGATGAGTTTTAAGGATGTGTGTGGCACAGTTAGGTGCCTGTATTTAACAATTTGTTAAGAAGATGGATTATGTTACCTGTTCTTAAAACACACCTACATCTGTGCACAACACAGAGAAGGACATAAAGTGTCTTAAAGAGTAACTTTGTATGCCATTTATGTTAATTATGCTGATAGCTAACAGGTGTCTGTATATAGTTAACTCATTAAGTTGTGCATATTAAATGTGTACATTCCTTTGTGTATCAATTACACCTCAGTAAAGCTGTTTAAAAAGAGAGAATGAGATGGCTAGATGACCAAATCAATATGGAAGTAAGAAAGGGTCCAGGATATCCTGGCTGATCACACATTCCTGAAAGGCTAGTTATGATCCCAGAAGGCGAGGCAGGCTCTGTGGCAACAGAAAAAAAAATATCCTGTGCTGTTTTTCAGGATTACCTGGTTTAACTTAGAGAATTAGCACTGATAATTGAATTAAATAAAGCAAATGCCTCTTATGGGGCATATTAGCAATCCTACAGAGAACATTTAAATGATAGCATTAAACACAGAAATCATAAAAATTATTAATTTACTCAAAATGACCAAGGAGATATCTGTCTCTAAAAAGACATGATCTGCCACAACTCAAAGTTTCCTTTGACTGGCTTTCATCTTTTGCTATATTTAATAATAAATGAATGGCTCTTAACACATCAAATACTTCAGAAAAATATTTAGTTGTGTTATACTTGAAAGTATTAATTTTATGCTGTTTCATCCATTTTCTTTAAATTCAAGACAGATTGTATTTGTTTAAAAAGGACAAGTTTGTATAGTATATATATTCCATGAACACTTTCCACACCTTTTCACATAAAATAAACATTCTATTATTTGAGAGAGAAGCACAAAGCCACAGATAAACATAACCACTGAGGGCACATACAGAAGTTCTAGCTAGAGAAAAGCTCAGAACACAAGCTTGGGACTTGCCTGTCCAAGGGCCAACAGACGGGGCTCAAGGAAGACCCTGCTCCATTCAGTTGCCCCTGTGCGAATTCTCTGTTCTTTTTCATGGTGACTCACAGCTCTAGGAACACATTCCAAATTGCAGTGTGGGGTGGGGTGGGAACTTGGGAACTGCAAAAATGCCAAGGCTAAAGAATGAATTGCGACTAATGAGGGAAGGTATCTGTGTGCAGCTGGGGAAGGGGTTAGAGGAGGACAAACCAAGTAGGCAAAATAGTCTCTCGTCTCAAAAATGAAGTATGAGAAAATCAGGGGAAATAGTGTTTGATTGCAGCCGCCGCACAGAGAGAAAATAGCAAAACAATTTAATTTTGAATTCTTCTGGAGTCTTCTAACTAGGCTCCATTTCCAGAGAAAAATAAATGGCTGATAAATCAAGAGGCCTTGGGTAAAACCGGAAAACTAGACGTCTGAGAAAATTTGATTACAGCTGAGAGCAGAGATGAGAGCTTTCCAAGTCTTGTGTGCACCCAGGTTGACTAATTACTGATTTTTGGAAGGGGTGGTTTGATTTGTTATATTTAGGAGGTATTTGACAACCATGAGAATCCTAATAAGATACCTCATGCATGTGCAACGCCACTGTGGTCCAACTGCTTTCAAGTTGTTTGGGCACGTTTGGAAGAACCAACTATGGATGCCAGATGCCAATTTCCAAATACGTGAAAATGGTTTTTGTACTAGCCATTCCCCAGGGCTGTGGTCTAGGTGTGAAATGTCTTCCATGAGCTCATGTGTTTGTCACCTCCTGGTTTGAAAATGTGGCAGAGTTCTTAGGAGGTGGAACTTTGTGGGACGGAGTAGGTAATTCAAAGTAGGCCTCAGGGTTTTATAAACACAGCTGCATTTCCTCTTTGCTCTCTGCTTCCAGACCCATACACACAATTGGACCGGCTACCCCGCTCTTCCGCCATCACATCTTCCCTGCTGTGCTGGACTGTATACCTTAAAACTGTGAGCCAGAATAAATCCTTCCTCCTCTAAATTGCTTCTTGTCCTGAATTTTGCCACAGAACAAGAAAAATAACCATCAAGATATGAGGTATAGTTACCAGGCACCATTTTTGTGTTCTTTGCTACCTTATGGAAACTGGCTTCTCTTGGTCACTTTCAGTTTTTTGCTGTTTCTTTGGTGCTTTTATTTTAAAGGAAATTCAATCTTAATTATTTATATTCATAGTGAGAAAGTAAATACACAGACACACACACGTGTGCGCACACACGTGCACACACAAATGTAAGTCTGTTAAATACTGAGCATGTTGATTGGCCAACTGGGCTGGAGAGATGGCTCAACGATTAAGATCACTTGATACTTTTCCATATGACCCCAGTTTGGCTCACAGAATCGACATGACAGCTCATAATCATTTGTAACTCCAGCCCATGGGGTCGTTAGCCCTCTGGCCTTGGAGGATACTTAAAAACAATAAAAATAAATGTATTGAGTAGAGCATAAATCCCAAACTCATTTGATACTTTTTATGAGTTACTGCAATTCATCTTAACAGCAGTCCACATGGTATTATCTTTGTCATTATATTGACAAAGAAGTGGAAGATCAAAAAAATTAATCAATGTGCCCAAGAACACACAAGTGGGAAGAGGTAGTTCCAGGACTTGAATTCAGGGGCACTTGACCCAAAAGTCATGTCCTCTCATCACTCTGCCTTCCTGTCTATCAGAGCTGACACTGTCAGGTGTCTTTATTCCATCCCCCAAATGAAATCCATCCATTTGTTAAACTCCCCTCACTTCCTCAAGTCTCATTTAATTGTTACAAATCTGTCAATTCTACAACAACAACAACAACAACAAAAAAGCCCTTAACTCTTTTGCTTCTATTTCCTCTCACTTTCTTGGAATGCTTGTTGCTTTTCTTTACTTTTGAGCTCATGCCAGTGACTCTCCATCCAATCTTCACTTGCATACTACTAGAAAAATAACTTTGAAAATCAAAATCTCATGTGTCTTCGCCCTGCTTACGATCCTTCAGAATTTCCTTTAATCATTCAATAAACTCTGTCTTCTCAATAAGGCACAGAAGGTTCTTCAGGCCTCCACCATCTGTTTTTCTTAGTCCAACCCCCGAGTCCTGCCTCCTGTCTGTGTCCTTCTTAGAGTTCCTTGTTATTGGAACTAGATTGCACTTGGTTCCATTAATCATTTGTTCCTATTGTGTGACTTATTCTTCATTTGATGAAGATTCATTTTATTCTTTTAAAATAAATCTAGCATTATACACACACACACACACACACACACACACACACTAGAATCTTCATATCATTTGAATTGGGAAATCTGTAGTATCCATCCAGTTTTTCCCTTTTGGTGCCAATGTATAGTACTTCAGAATATTATCCAAACCAGGATAAACTGGAGAGATGGCACAAATTTGTATCATTGTTTTCCTCTTAATTTTTCTTTGTGTAAGTCACAGTTTTTAACATGATAAATAATATGTTTGGCCTATTTCTTACAAAAAAATATAGTGTCCATAAGAATCAGCAGCTTCATTGGCTTTGTTCAACACTGTACTCAGGGAAAAGACAGTTTTAGGCCCCATTAGGAAAAAAGTCTTCCTAATTAAAGGGATGGGTTCTTGTAGAGTTCTCAACCTGAGAGCACTCATTGAAATGATCCATTCTTGCAAACAATGGTGTATCTGTGGTGATCACAGTACAATGTATGTAAGGGAAAAGAAAGAAAGTGACGTTGAAGATGGGACCAGAGGCATGGGATGGAGGTGAGAGCAGTTGTGCAGGGACCTGTGCTCAGGTGTGCCTCACTTGACTTCAGCACACCACTACCACATTCCACACTGTTTGCCCAAGTCTCTTCCTTCTCACTTTGTACTTGTTGCTAAAACTTAAGTCGATTCTAAGAATCACAAGAAAGCCAAAGGGATTTATATGTGTTATGAAGGAAAGACTAGCCACAATATATACCTTGGAAAGTCCAAAATCCCAGCAATTTGGAAAGTGGAATAGAGCAGGCAGCAATGTCATTCTGGCTTCCTACTGCCTAGTAAGCCATTCCTTTCTTAACACCCTCTTGGGTGTTATTATACCTGAAACCCTTCTGGTCTTATCTAAGCTGAGCTCATACTATCGTTCTGCTTTATGTATTAGCTGTCTCACCACCATTCTCTCGATCTCCCTAACCCTGCTACAACACTTAAGGCATTATACTGTAACCGTTCCCAAACCTATTTCCCTCCTTACCTGAGAAAATAGTTTCCCAAGGTCATCGTTGTGTCTTATTTAGCTTAGAACAAGTGCTCAGTGCAGTGGTTTCCACAGGACATGTAGTAAAGGATTTTGATGAATGAATGAATGGGCTTTGAGTTCCTAACACACACACACACACACACACACACACACACACACACACATACACACATATAGTTTCTGTGTGGTTATTTCAAGTCTGGGCAGCCGGGAATGAACAAGCAGCCTCATGCAACAGGCATATGCATGCATACACCATGTTTTCAAACTAAAGTCATTGAGACTTAACAAAGTTGCTACCCCAGGATGCCAAAACTGAGATTTGAACCCTGATTCCAGGTCACTGTCTCCAATACAGGTCTTATAAATTTGCCTCCATTATCACTTCTCCACGTCTGTTCCACGCATGCAAACTCACACTGGAAATGGGCCGATGTTTTCTGAGTACTATCAACATTCTGATGCAGATTTTTACACTCTGACTTTTTTGCGTGATATGACCTTTGTATTTCAGTCATTGGTTATGTGGAAGCATGTCAATGAAATTCTGAATTCTAGCATCACCCTCTCCACCAAAATGATAGTCATCTCTGAACTGTGTGTTGGGTCAGGACTATATAACTGTCATTCACAAATGGCATTGCATCATGCCATTTATGCAAAAGCTGATATCACCATTTTCATTGCAATGGTACATACCCACGCTTCTGATACTACCCTCCAGCCAGATGTCCTCACTTGGAAGTGAATCAGCATCTCCAAAGATGCTTCCATGCAGCCAAGATTTAGAGGCTCTGAGGTCCAGGAGAGAAGAAAGAGAACGGTGGATTCTCTTTTTCTTTCTAAATATTCTGGGAAGAAATGAAAGCAGTGAGTAGCAGTCACCTCGGGTTGAAAATAATCCACTGGAAATGTGTTGTAAGAGGCCATTTGTTGGTTCCCAGCTGCTCAGCCCCAAAATAATCACACAGAAACTATATCATTTAAATCACTGCTTAGCCCATTAGCTCTAGTTTCTTCTTAGCTAACTCTTATATCTTAATTTAACCCATCTCCATAATCTGGAGCTTTCTGATTGGACTAGATTGTGCGGTCAATGAATTCCATGATTGTACTTGTCTTTGCCTTCCCAGCACTGGGATTACAGATGCACAATGCTGTGGGTGGCTTCTGTGTGGTGCTAGGGATCTGAGCTCATGTCCCTATGCTTGTACACAAGGCATTTGACCCACTGAGACATTCCCCAATTCTAAGCCCTAATTATTCATGATTCTCAATTCGGATATTTTATCCGTCTTTCTTGTAGGAAACCCCTTCCTTAAACTGTATCCCTACCAAGACTCTTGCATTTTCCCAATTGTATGAGGGTTTCTCAAAATCCTTTGCCTGTGCCTTTCTCCATGGCTCTCCATTTCCTACTTTAACAGGTAACCTAAATCTTTTAGAATTCAAAACTTCCACCCCAGCATGTGTATCACTTCATTTTATTTTTATTTGTTTTCATGTTTGCTTCCCCTGCTTCCAATTCCTCTTTTATTCTCATACTTTTGGGCAGCGTTGTGTTCAGCTATGTGGATGAACGAGTGGTTAGCAGAATGGCCCTTTAACATTGTAAAGGACAAGGCCTTTACAGTGTTCTCTACTTACCTAACTAAGTTCTCCTTGTACATAACACTGGTATGGGAGGGGTTCAGAGTGATGTGGCCATCTGGGTCACAAAGGAAACTGTCCTCAGTCCAAATGTAGTAGCCATTGGTGAGGAGTCGGGGGCTTCTGCGACAGACATAGTGGGAGCCTGTCAGGGGGTCTATGGAGCAGCATTCAAAAGAACTCTCTCCATCCAAGAAGCCACAATCAAAGCTAAAAAGGAAAAAAAGAAAAGGTCCTTTAAGTCACTACCAAGTACTTACAATCACACAAACCCTATAGGACCATCTAGACACTATGAAGGTAATTTCATTCTTCATAATAAAGACTGCCAAATACTTCCTCAGCCCTTAGCAATGGTGCTCTTAACGCGCAGCTTTGAACCACACAGCATTTAGTTCTTTCTCTTTTGAAATTTGGTGACAACATGTTGGCCAGCTTCATCACCTTATGATCGATTTACTACACACTTGATATTGGTCCATTCTTTTGAAAATATCACCAAACAGCCTTTTCTGGATGTTGTAAACATGTTATTTTCCTGTTTATTTCCTGTACATCAAAAATCTGCACACTGAAGATGAAATAGTTTCATGAACAGTTCTTAATACTGACATCTTGCATATTCTAAACGTTCTAAACCAAACATGTTGGCTACTATTTATATGTGTTCATGTTTTGTGGTTTTGAATTTTGGGGAGATTCTAACTGTCCTAATTTAATTTTTTTGTTGCTGTGTTAAACTTTTGGACTAAAGGCAACTTGGGGATGAAAGAGTTGATTTCATCTTACAGGTTACAGTCCAACCTCAAGGACTGGCAAGGCAGGAACTTGAAGCATAAACCTGAGGGAATAGAGCTTATTGTTTTACTTCCTCTAGTTTTCTAAACTAATTTTCTTATATAGCCCAGGTCCACCTGTCTAGGGCTGGCACAACTTAAACAAGTAGCCAGTAAGAAAATGCCCCATAGGCATGGCCATAGGTCAATCTAATTGAGGCAATTCTTTGGTGGAGGATAATTCTTCACAAGTGACTCTAATGGTGTGTCAACCGTCAAATTGAAGGTAACTATGACACTAACTCTATCAATGTAATAGTTTTAAAATCTTTGTAAAATTTCATTAAAATGGAAATGTAGGTAAAAGCTAATAAACTAGAAAGAATACTGAGAGAAGATAAAAATGGTGATGAAGAAGGATAGAGTGTAGGAGAAAGGACACACAAGACACGAAAGAGGAAAGGAAGACTGATGAAAGAATTTAGAGGAGGAGAAGGGAAGCCTAGGGGTAACAAGAGTGGGGAGGACAGAGGGAGGAGAATCACTGAAACACATTCAGTTCAAAAAAATGCCCCAATAATTTTAATACTTTCCTGCCAATCAAAAACAGCTTAGAGACTTACTGATGGTGCCAGGTTCTTACTTTAAATCACTGATGAAAATACTGAACGGTACAAGTACAAAGACCTGAGACTTTGGAAAGCCAGAAATGACCTCTCTCCAGAGAGGCCTGGACCACTTCATTTCAGTATTATTTTTGTTCATCATTTCCTCTTTTTGTAGAAAAGGAAAGGAAGATACTAGTAATAACAACAGATAATAATTGTCCAAGATTTTGATGCTTCTGAGTGAGAGGTGAGTTACAAATTTCTGGTATTTTTTTTTTTTTGGCCTCCTTACCTATGTTTCCCTCTCCATATTGTTTGCCTTCTCAAGAATTAATGGAGATATCCATAGTGCACTGGGCGCTTGGGAACTACAGAGCTCTGGACCTGCATTTCTAGCTGCCCTCTAAGGTTCAATTTTTAACAATTATTATAAACCTCAGGTTTTCCTAACCCTGGGCATCCCTCCTTTCAAGTGTCCTTAAGTTTTTCTCTTCTTTCTTGACTGTCCATAAAAAAATGGAAATATTCTTGCTACATCAACATACTTGTAAAAGAGTGTTCTTGGTGATAGTAAATCTTTTCAGTGGTTAGCAAAACTACCTTTAGGACTTGACTCTCACTTGAATTATACTAGAGCCATTCCAGAGGCTTATGGTCACTCAATAGGCTCTTTTCAATGGATTTCAGGAACCTACCTACACATACAACCAACAACTTGCTCAATTTCCCAAACACCAAGTCCTTTCTTGTCTTGAGAGATGACTGAACAAATCCTGGGAGAATTTTTATTTCTGGTGTTGATGAAGGGACAGACCCTACCACAGCCTTTAAAAAGTTTGTGTAGTTATTCATCTATTGTAGGTTGTAAGTCATGTCTCATCCCCTATTTCTATATTTCCCACAGACATTTCTAACTTTTCAATTTAAAAACCTATGAACAATTAACGTATGAGCTTGCTGTTAATAATATACTAATTAATATATATTATTTATTGAACGGACTGGAGAGATGGCTCAGAGCTTAAGGGCACTGGCTGCTTTTCCAGAGATCCTGAGTTCAATGCCCAGCAACCACATGGCAGCTCACAACCATTTATAATGAGATTGGGTGTCCTCTTCTGGCCTGCAGGCAGACATGTAGGCAGAATATTGTATACATAATAAATAAATAAATCTTTAAAAAGAAATTATTATTGAAGTTGCACCATGTATATAGCCCCCCAATTTTTATTTGTTCTGCCCTTTGTAAATCTCTCTAAAAGGCAGGGATACTTAGCATACAGGGGAGTTAGGATGGAATCATAGTTAAACTGCCCCAACACAAATTCATATTTCTACCTCTGTACCCTTGGCTGACTCATGTGGTAGTATCAGAAGACCTGATGTTTACAGGAAGGACAGATTCTAATATCAGTGTTAGATTCTCTTATCTTGCAGGTACATTTCAGAAAATGCTGGGGGAAACCTCAGCTAAAGCCTACGGAAAGGAAAAACAATGATTCCATTGCAGGGTAGAAGAAAACGATGAAATCAGCTAGTGTGAGCAGAATGTGAAATATGGCCAGTTTGCTGGTAAATACTCTGACCCTGGTAAAATGAGTGGGAAGACAAAAGTGGTTTGAATGGGAATGATCCCCACAGACTCACACATTCGAATGCTTGGTCTCCAGTTGGTGGAACTGTTTGAGTAGGATTAGGAGGTGTGGTCTTGCCGGTGGAGAAGTGTCACTGAGGATTGGCTTTTAGGTTTAAAAAGTCCAGGCCTATTCCTGTTAGTTCTTTCTTTACCTTCCTCTTGCTTCTGGATTATACGTAAGCTCTCAGTTGCTGCTCCAGCACCATGCCTGTCCCATTATACTGCCATGTTCCCCTCTATGATGGTCATGAACTGTAACACTCTTGAATTGTAAGCATCCATAAACAATTTCTTCTATAAGTTGTCTTTGTCATCATGGTGCTTTATCATGGCAAAAGAAAGCAGCTAAGACACCAGCTTAAGAAACAAAAACCCAATGATATCTAAGAATTCAATGTAGTTTTCCACCCAATAAAGAAACGATCGTACCTGCCTACGTACTCACACTAAAAAGGAAAAACAAGTCATTCTTCAAGTAGACAAGTTTTCAGTTACTAATGCACAAGGTGGAAAATATATAGCCATGGTCCTTTTAAAGGAATAAAAAATAAGATGGGCAGGAAGGAAGTTTGATTTGATGGAGAAAAGCCCTGTGACGTACCTTGGGAAAATGCATGTGGGGGACAGCTCTCCAGAATGTCCTTTGTGTGACCTGGTGGAATCTGTGTAAGGAAAAAAGAAAGAAATTTTCAACATCTCACCAACATTGGAGACCCATGAGCAGGTATGTCTAGATGTCCCAGTCTTAGCAAGAAGACGGCAATGTAATAGAGCGGTGTGAAAAGCTAGTTTCTGGGAAGCCACCAACTTGTCACCTATTCCCTATGGAAAGCATAAAGCAATCGAGAAATTTCTGTCTTCTGTCCTTTCTCACACTCCACAGTCCTTGAAAATTTTCTTTAAATCGTGGCCACCAAACTGAGTTTATAAATGGAAAAGAGAAAGAAATGTGTGTGATGTTGTAAAAAAATGAAAATCCGTGGCTCAATGTGTTGGTTATGGTAGGTTACTCCATAATCTGAGAAATTCAATCACTGGCCACAAGTTTTGTTATTTGTGCGTTTGTAGATTTTTACAACAGCAAACAGAAGGCATTGTTTGGGCGGAGTATAAAAATTTCATTTTGTGTGTGCAAGTGTGTGTGCGTGTGCCTTCCTCTATTGCTCTTCGCCTTTTTGAGATAAAGTCTCTCTCTAGATCTCATCAATTCTCCTAGAACATCTCCTATCAGTACCAGGATTACAGGTACCATCATCCATCATACCCAGTCCTTTCTGTGGGCTAGGTAAATCTGAATCCAGGTCTTCATGCTCGCATGGTGAACACTTCACATCACAGTGCCACATCCCCGGCCCCGGGTTTGATTTTGTTTCTTTTAAATATATGATTCTTAAAGGTATGAAGCCTGTGAGATCTTCATTAAAGCATACTTAAATACAAACTCTGGCCTATGACAATGGGCTTCACCTGGAGGAGGGTTCCAGGTTATTAAGAGCCTAAGCTGTGCCACATAACTTTATAACAGGCACTGATGGTAGCAAGACTTCTAACAGTGGGGCTTAGTGAAACTTGGTTTCCTTACTGACAAATACTACTAAAAACAAATAAGGTAATTTGGACTTTCAGCTTGGACCTTTATTATGAGTAGAAAACTGTGGGTGTGAGAGAGGGAGAGAAAGGGGGTGTAGGCAGAAAAATAAGAGGAAGGAAGAAACTCAAAACCACTACCGCTTCAACAACGCCCTTATTTTCTGCAAGTAGCTATCAATCTTTCAGCATTTTTTTGTAGACAGTTTTGCATCTTAATTGTAGCCAGTAAACATTCTCCTTTCACATTTATGCTTAGGCATCTAAAAAAAAAAAAGTGATTTTTTTTCTCCTAAAAAGAAAAAAAAATGCCACATTTCTCTCAAGGAAAGAAATGAAGTCAAAATCATTGCCAAAGCACACACTGGCATTTAAGAAACACAAGCTACTGACAGATGGCTAATGGTCTAAGTATCAGCAAAATCAAAGCAAGGAAATTGCTAAGAGGACTCTAATCATTCAAAGATAATTGCACAGAGCAGTTTCATATTTACTTGCTACTGGTGTCGACAGCAGTTGAGAGACTCGGTACATCTTGAGAAGGCCGCTTGTTCAAACTTCACAGATTTTTTTTTTTCTGCAAAAGACGTTTAAAAAAAAAGATGGACCATATATTAAAAATAGACAAATGATGCCAAAACAGATGGCATCTACTAATTGTACTAGTCAGATTTGTTTGCTGAAATGATAGAGAGACGTAAGATTGAAGACAGCAGACCAGATTGTGGGACTTCAATGAGGTGGCGCCTGCTTCAGAGACTTCAAATTCTATTTTTCATTGTCTCATTGCATAAGGCTGAATATTCTGTAAATAAGGACCCCGTTTTTGGGAGGAAAGCAATACTTACAAAGGTTGATTTGTCCCCCAGATTAAATAGTGTGCCTTACTTAATTAAGAAATCTGAAAGCGTGGCTGGTTCTAGAGTCCTTGAAACAAACTCATGTGTATTTAAAGCAGACTGCAGAATGTAGCTTTATTATCAAGTTGCAGACAGTGCTTAGGGACTGGTGCCTGTCTTCTTTGCTCAACAACATGAACCATTGACAAGTGGCCATGGAGAAGCCTGGTGCTTTTTGTGGTGGCTATCAGTTTGAACATTCCTAAAGAGCATAAGCTACCCTGAGCTACAAATAGCACACCACCACCCAGATCACAAAGCTCCATTCCTGAAAGCATATAATTTACTTTTCAATTACAAAGTAACCGTACATCCAAGTGTACTCTTTGTGTAAACTTTGATCAGTTACTTCTTATCACATAGTTCTATCTCCAGGTGGCTAGTGTGTGTGTGTGTGTGTGTGTGTGTGTGTGTGTGCGTGTGTGTGTGTGTGTATGTCTAATCACTACCCTGGTAGTTTTGTAAGGTGAAACTCATGTCTTTTATGATCCAGTATCTCTGTCTATACTTGTAATAAACATGACAACTAATAATTGACTATTGTAACATAATACATTAAATCAATCTCATCAATTCTAGGACTCAATATAGAACAGTTTACTGTTGTATGTATGAACTGTTCAAGGAATCATATGCTGCAGCTTATAAGATCCCTTTAAAGAAGACAGGAGGCATTTCTAGAATTCTCTTGAAGGTTTCTAAACCAAAACACACATTTAAAATTCACTGATGTGAAAAATAAGATACTGCACACAAACATATTAGCTTGTCACTTGTCACTTCAGCATTGACAAATACAATAAGAATATATCTGGCCCAAATGACTGTATGCTAGTTTCATTTGCTTACTTTTAAGCCGTGACATTCTGCAGCAGAAAGCAAGGAAGGTCTCACTGTTTGATCTTACAAAAGCAAGTAGCTGTGTACAGTGAGGGCAATGCCAGTTAGTCAAGCATTAGTAACTGTGAAAACAACTTGCGTTAACAGCTCAAGAACTTTTCAAGAAACAGACTCTGTCTACCAGTTCATCAAAGCAATGCATCTGTGTTCTGAAATAGAACTCGCTCATACATATTCCTCCACAGGGAGTCCCCAGGCTCTTCTTCCAACTGACAAATGACAGGATGGTTACTGAAATACGAAGCTTCCCCGCGGTTGGCAGTGCAGAAATCTGGACCCAGCAGTCCTTCAGCTGAAAGCCCCGTTAGAATGCCAACAGGTGCAGAAGTTCCTTCACAAAGGGAATCCTGTCTTCCCTTCTTGTGCAAACTGCCCGCATCCCCGCTACGTGGAGGCATCCACAGTGCAGTTTAGTTCCTCGGTGGCCTCTGGAGCTTTCAACTGTTTCCTAGAATAGAATAGCTTGTCATTCTTGGGAGAGTCAAGCCTCGCAGCCCTTGTTTACTTTCAAAATCAGCCTTCTGAACTAGAGGCAGGGCAGCAGAGTGAGGTCATACTTCCTGTCATGATCGTATCAGTGGTGTTCACACAGTGGAACATGGTGAAGATAGCAAATCTCCTTGACCGTGGTAGAACATGGACAACCCAGAGTCAGGCCAGCTGGATACCTTCTGGTCCATGAAGGGTGCTTCTTAGAGTTACCGTGTCACCCCAACCTGTATGAACACGATAAAAACTTTTAATCAAGCAACTCTTCCTGTCTGTCATTTTCTGATCACGTTTAATTATGGGTAGTATATAATTATGTTCTTGGTCCAATTAACCTAATTATGTGGAAGATAATATATCAAAGCTGTTAAATTCAGGATGCTATAAAGAAATATGATTGTGTGATTTTTATGAGAATTTGCACAGTACTAAACTGTTGAATCAAAAAAGTCTGATTTTTTTTTCAAAATGTTCAACGGGTAACATTCTACATTTACTTTTTATTATGGTTCAAATTACTTTGTGCGTCTGTACACATCGATGCTTTTTAAGCGACAATAGAATTAAATCATCCCAGCAACACTGAGCTAACACCAAGTAGTGGAAAGAGCCTGGGATTCACAGTCTCACAGGCTAAGATTAAAATGGCCTACCATTCTAGCTAAGGAACCTCAGACTTGTTACTTCGCTTCCTTGAGCTGCGATTTTCTCAAATTTAAATGTAATAATCTATACTCCCAAAGTTGCCTTGGAAAATTAAATGAGATAAAAGACAAGGGAAATAGCTGAGTATCTGAGAAAAAATGCAAGAAGCATTCCTTATTAGATTTTATCAATTGACTTCTCTTTGGAGAGTTGGTTGATCAGTCTATTGGAGAAGTTGGTGTCATCAGTTCTTAGGAATCCTTACAGTACTGAGGTTTTGTTGATGCTGGGAGACATCAGTATTATTTCCCACACAGAACCCACCTCTGCTGTCTCTCCCTAAAGCCCTCAGCTATCACCTCATTCTGCCGAGGTTTTATGCTAACATTCCAACTGTCACTTGGTTTCTCTCCAATACATTATGCATACCATATACGGAATTATCTCACTATGAAAATCTGATGATGTCATTCCTTAAATTAAAACCTTCAAGGGCTAGTCTTTGCTACTTCCTCACAATAAGTTCAAAATCATCCCTGTGGCCTCTAAAGTCCTATGAGGTCCAGTGTTGCCTTAGTTTTAGCCTCATAGCGAATCTATTCTGTTGTCTAAAATCCAACCATTCTGACTTTAGCATTTGATCTTGCTCAGTTTTGCTTTCACCTTAGAGCCTTCGTAACGTACCACCTTTGCCTCTCCATCTTGTTTCTAAGCAGCTCTTTTCTTTAACCCCCTCTTTCCCTCCTACATCGAGCTATAGAGTCCGTGGCTCTCTATGTTGTCCTTAGGAATGTGCATTGTAGCTACAGGTAATGAACCAAAAGTCTGTTGATGTTCTATCTTCTGCTTTACTGTGAGTGTTGGGAGCATATGCTCTGTTTTTCTTGTCATCTACCAGCTTTACATTTATTTCCAGGTCCACTGCACATTAGGAACTCAAAAATACATGAGTTGTGTGTTTTCCATCTAAGTCAGTCTGCGCTTTTTCACACATAGAGTACAGAATTTGATCACAGCCTGGCATTGCTCTTCTGGTCATAGCTTGGGAAAGTTAATAACCCCTAAAGAGCTGTAGGGAAGTCATTTTATCACAGCAATTACTCCACAGGAAAAAAAAACCAAATATTTGAACCTTAGTTGTTCATGGTGATATGCTTTTACTTTAACAGGTGGTGGCTTTGCAATTGATCACCATGACTAAGCCGAACTTTTCCCCAGAACTCTTTCCATTGCATTCTCTACCCACGAACTTGCACAGAAGGCGAAATGTAGAGATGGAGTGGGAGCCTTGGCTGGCTCTGAAAAGGTCCACATCTGGTTACTTTCAAATGTCAACTTGGCACAACTAGGATTTAACTGCGACAGAAGTCTTAATTGAAGAATTGCCTAGATCTGATGGGCCTGTGGCCAAATCTCTGTGGGGCTACCATATGGTTAGATCATATAGGAAGATTCAGCTCACCGTGGACAGCACCGCTTCATGGACTATATAAGAACAGAGAAAGCTAAGTGAGAGCAAGGAAGCAAGGGTGTATATATTCTGTCTCTGCTTTTAACTGTGGATACAATGCAACGAGCCGCTTGAGTTCCTGGCTTGGCTTCTCCAAAATAATATCTTGCAGCCTGGAATTGTAGTCCACATAAACTCTTTCCTTCCCATGTTGCTTTTTTGACAGGCTATTTGCTAACAACAACTAAACAATCCATGCAGGTCAGATTCTGTTTATATCTTACTCATGCATACCTGCATAAGACATTTGGATCTTTCTGTGGACTGAGCTTAAAGCTCCAATCCCTGAGTCCTCCTTACAGCTTCACAAAGCCTAGGAGAAAAGTAAGTATGGCTGCGAAGAAACAACCTCAGATTCTCTTCAAAGCATCTTGGGTGTTGAGGGTTAGGACTGTCAGGTGGGAGCAGGACAACACGGCAGTCAGTGACAGATCTGATTCCAGTTGATTCTTAAACACTTCAGTTTCCGTGGCTCTTCTTCCCTCCATGCAAATTTTCTGAACCTCATCAACTGTTGTTTGTGTTCCCATTCTGGACTGCTTATAAGAACACCAAATTCGGCCGGCGGTGGTGGCGGCGCACACCTTTAATCCCAGCACTCGGGAGGCAGAGGCAGGCGGGTCTCTGTGAGTTCGAGGCCAGCCAGGACTACAAGAGCTGGTTCCAGGACAGGAACCAAAAAGCTACGGAGAAACCCTATCTCGAAAAATCAAAAAATAAAAAAAAAAGAGCACCAAATTTGATTCTAACAATAGTATACTTGTGTGTATACTTGTGTGAGGTTTGCTCCCTATTTTACAATTGCATGACCCGCATCATTGCTAGTTATCCTTTATCTCTGCTTCAACTGGATTAACATGTCCTGTCCTGTGTTAGTTAGCTGTACAATGGCTACAGTCTAATGTACTTTGGGCTATTATAGTATTTTATTTTGGGGGTATTGGGTATTGAAGTTAAGAATTTACACATACTAGGCAAGTACTCTACTTAGAGCTAAAGCCCTAGCCCTAGGCCAAGCTTGTTTTAGTATCAAAGACTGGAGAATCAGCCCCATGATGGGCATCTCCCTTTCTTCAAAATCCTATTTTCAAAGAGGTCTTCTATTTTATTTCATGTGTATGAGTGTTTTGCCTG